GGAAGGGGAGGCCAGATCTGGGAGCTGTCTGCCCACTCCTAGCTCAGAGCCCATGTGGGGCGAAGCAGAGGTAGCTAGAGGGTGAAGCCCGCCCTCTAGCTAAACGGACTTTAATCCGTTGGCTGTGGCGCTGGGCTGCGGGCAATCTCCGGCTGCCAGGAGTAGGGGTGTTGGAGATGGAGAAGTGGCATCTTGTCACCTCGCTCCTTTATAGGGCGCGGAGTCTGGAGGCCCTTGGGTTGGGGACCCCAGTGGCGACACAGGAACATGTCGCAGGTCAGGAGGCCGCGCGGGGATCATCTTGCGCTCTGCTCAGGCTGGCGCCGGGCTCCTGAGAGCGCGGGAGAGTGGGCGACTTCGGCCGCGGACGGGGTCTTGTCATCTGGCCAGCAGCAAAAGCGGAAGGAGGCCAGGCCGGGGGAGGAGGATGTCAGGCGAGAGCAGGAATAGTTGTCAGTGTTTCTGTTTTCCTTTTTTTCCCTTCTGTTTTCCTTTTTAATAACGTGCTTTGGACACCCAGGGAGGAGTTTTCGGACCCAGGCGTCCCACTGGGGCGACTTTTGGGAGTAGGCGGCCTCACACGTGGCCCAGCTAGAAACAATTTCTCTGCAACTTGTCCTATCACTGACCAGAGAGCGGGTCATTTAAAATCTCCCCTGGCCCCGCCACTCATGCGGAAGTGGAACTGGCCTCACTTGTGGCCCTAGGACTGCGCGCTCTAGATCGGGTGTCGCTGCTGGGTAGGGGGCGCCAGAAGACGGCAAGAGATGCAGCCAGGACATTAGTAAGATAGGCGGTCAGTTGTTGGAAGTGGCAGCGCGGTGGAAACCTAACTAACCAGCCAGGCGCTAGCACTGGGCTCTGCAGCCTCGCGCCGGAACCGATTTGGGAGCGAGTCAGTGGGGTATTGAAAATCAGTTTGGCCCTCCCAATCTTCTTCCTCTTACCCAATGGCCTCCGCCCCCCCGCCAGCTCCAGTACCCCCATCCTCCTTTATGGGCTTTGGTGGTGGCTTACTGAGCCCTTTTCCTCTGCCTTACGATCTGCTAGAAGTGGCCAAAGATGAATTCCAGCAGCAGCGCCTGCTGCTAAAGGGACCGATAGGGAGCTGGGCCATCTGCTGGACTTCAGTGGAACCTGAACTTTTTGTGGCATCTTGGGATTCTGATGTTTACAAAGAAAGAAAGGAAAGAAAAAGAAAGGGAGGGAGAGTGAACTGTATGTGCTTTGAGCAGGAATTCTCAGGCTGGAGTTCAGCTTCCCTAAAAGGGACATCTGAACTTTGATGTAATGTCTCATTTGCAGATTTAAAACTGTAAAGCTAGAGCCGTCGTTTGATTTAACCAGTTAAAAGGAAAACAGCTGGGTCTGTCTGAGGGGACTACAGAGAGGCTGGAGAGGAAGAGAGGAAGACAGTGAATAATTCTGAAACACAATGCATCTGTGTATGAAGATAGTATAACGAAATGCACTGTAGCTGTCGAATAATAGGGGAGAAGGTGACAAAGAAAGAGTAAATAATAGAGGCGGCTAATCTGTTTGAAGTAGGTATATACATATGTGACATACCAAGGCGAAACCCCCCGGGGGCGGGTGGGTAAAGAAGAGGGATGAAGGAGGGTGAATGTGGTAGATGTACTTTGTATACCTGTATGAAAATAGAACAATGAAGCCTGTTGAAATTGTTCTAAGAAGGGGATGAAACCAGAGTTTTGGACCCAAGGCCCAAACTCCTGAGATTCCATATGCCAGGTCCTGCCATCCACCTCTAAATGCCAAATAAAGAGGCATGGTGAAGGCAGAGAAAGGAAGTTTATTACATGGCTAAGGGAGACATGCCCTGGAATGAGGCACAGAGGGAAGAAGGGATAAGGGAGGATGATGGAGGGAGTGAACCTAATTAAGATACATTGTAAAAAAAAAGTACATATTTAAGTGTCACAATCCCCCTATGCAACTATTATTTGCTAATAAATAAAAATTTAAAAACAAAAAGAAAACAGTGTAATCACAAGTCATCCTCTGACTTTGATGTTTATTAGAGATTTAGGGAGTTGGAATTTTATATAAAAGCAAAATTTCAACATCCTTTTCCATTCTCCTCAGTAGCTGGTTGATAGAGTTTATGATAATGAAAGATGTCAGCTTTAATAAAGAAATCTAGTCCAGGACTAGTTTCTAGTCTTTTTTTTTTTTTAACTCGCCCTCTCCATTTACTCCTTCCCGCTCAAACAGGGTATGCACTTCCAGACAGGATCTGTTTTATATTCTGTCCTTCATTTTTTTCCAGTGTATATTGATTGTTCAAGGGGGTTTCGCCTGGGTACTT